AACCAGAATTTCATGGATGCAGTCCCCATTCTGGTATTTTGGGCGTGCAGTCAATTAATAATGGTAATAGTGTGGTGCACAAGAAAGACACTGGATGAAGAGTCTGAGATACAGCCCCGGTCTGGTCATGGGATCTTAAATTACTGGCGCACCTGTGCTTTTCCATTTCCTATCACCAGGTAAGAATGCAGATGCAAAATGAAATGGATATTTCACTGGGTTTTTAGTTAAGGATTAGGTGAAATCATTCACAGAATTATAGTGTGCTTTATTTTAAAATCTGGTTGTATGAGAATATTCATTTTTTTTATCTGTTCATTATTCTAGAACTACAGAACAGATCCCAAGGATGGTTTAGGACTGAGCTAGGTGCTTTGTGTTTTTTTCCCTGTTCCACAGTGAGTGGCGGTGGATAGGAGTCAATTGGCCAGAGCATTTGTAAGGCTTTGGACTCAGCCAAATGTGGTTTCGTATTTTGCATCTTCCATAGAGGTAAGCTTGGACAGGTTACTTAACCTCATCACTTCTAGAAGGAAGAATTTGTGATGGCTGGTCACAAGGGAATCAGGCTCCCTGTGGTGATAGGAATGGTACTGTGAACCAAGGAACAGGACCCTGCTACATTTAATCCTTACCACACACAGCTCTCTACCCCTTTCCCTGTCCTCTACTCCTCCCACCTTCACATATTCATCCTGGGTGATTCTAACTTTCTCTGACTGACAACTAATCCCTCTCAGGTGCTGACTGATAATCAATAGGTGATAATGACTTCAGGCAGAGGTGAGCAGCCATTTTTTACAAGTGCAGATTCTGGGAAAATCAAAGTGTTAATAGGCCATTAAAAAAAGAAGAAGAAGGATACAGTAGAAGTCACCTGACATCCCACCACCCTTTGATGGGCCAATTTGAATGTTAACAAACCACTTTCTTGGTGTGATTTGTTTGTTGTTAACTTCAGCTCTTTAGTAGGGTACCAGAAGTTTGTATAATTTATCCATTTTGAGGAGCTGATGCCAGGGCTTACATGGAGAGCAAATGTTTTCAGAATGATGAGGGTAACAAATGTACAAATGTGCTTTATACAATTGATGTATGTATGGATTGTGATAAGAGTTGTATGAGCCCCCAATAAAATAACTAAATAAATAGTTGATCCATTTTACTGACTAGAAAATCACAAATACAAAAATTGGCATCTCTTTTAGGCCAGTGAAATGGTAAGATCTGGGTACTTGTGACAGCATGGAATCCTTTCCTGGCTTTTATCTAGAAATGTTAAAAACCATTTGAAAAGAATGAAACAAGATAGAGGACACATTGACGAATGTGTCACCATAATAATTAATGATACATATCATCTTTTAGGATTTATTTTCTGCTAAAATTTTAACACCTTTATGTGGATTTTCTAGTGCTTGCTCACATGGTTACCAAAATAGAGGTACTATTTTTAAAGATGAGGAATCAGAGACCAGGGATGAGGAGTACAGTAAATGTCTGGCAGGCCATCTCTGCCCCCCCCCCCTTATTCCCATGAGGCAGGGACCAGACAAGCTCTCAAGCTCCATCCCTCTTTACCTAAGTTCCTCCTGTGCTACTCGACTACGCTGGGCTCTATTACTCATTGCAATGGCCGCACAGTACTACGGACAATACAAGTATGGAGGTTTACTAGGGATAGTAATAGGTTACTCCAAGTCAGGATCAGCAAAGAGCAGGGATGCAGGCACTGGTCCACAGTCACACCTCTCCTCCGCCAGGACCAAAGTCTCTCTCTGGTCCTCAGTCTCAGCCACATGATCTTCCGGAACAGGTAGCTCACCGGTTGCCCTGTCTCTCCCAGGCCCACAGCCTTGGTGCTGGTCTCAGCCCCTGCCACTGCAGACAGGGGTCTGGAACGTGCTCTTCTTACAGTTCTGGGCTTTTCCCCTTTCTCTCTGACCTGACTCTCATACCCAGACAAATGGCTTGATGGAAGTGTGGTTTTGCCTTTTAGCATACCACATCGCCATGAAGACCAAGGGTGGTGAGTTTAGGTTAGTCCCATTATCTAATAGATTCTAAAGCTACATACCACCTTAATCCTATAACAGAGAGCACCCTTCAAGTAGTGGAATCAAAATAGAAACCCAGCTCACCTTCTTCCAGAGCTTGGACTACTAACCATCATTCTGTAACAGGAATTGTACCATTCTCTCCCTGCTGCACCTTCGGCTACATCATAAAAGCTGTATGTAGATGTTAAGTGGACAAATGGTATGGAGGCAGTCTGACTTTTTCTGAATTTACAACGGGGGAAGGAAAAATCCAACTCAATATTAGCCCAAGGCTACTGCCTATGAGGCAGAGGCAGAGGCAAGACATGCCTGTACCATCCAACTTTCTTTTCCACTTCTGACGCTGAGCATCTCTCCCCAGCATGCTCCTTCTCTGCTAGGCTTGATCATCATTTGCAGTGGCTACACAGAACTCACAGACAATACCCATGATTATAAGCCTCGGTTAATTAGGGACATTGACAGATTACAATTCGGGATCAGAAATGCTCACAACAAAGAGCTTCTCTGGTCGAGTGCTTCTTTGCAGTCATGGTGGTGGCCACGGCTCTTTCTGGACCTCTCCTCCCAGCCACCCTTACAGGGTGACAAAAGCCCGATAGGCACTCCTCTCCACCTCAAATAAGCCTCACCCCAGCTCAGTTCTAGAGCTCACCCTCCCCCCCAGCACATGCCTGGAGGCGCCATAATCTGCAAGCAAGCTTCCTCTTGGAAGGCACCGAGCTTTGTTTGTTCCCTGTGCAAGGAAACCCACCTCTCGGGTTCTGCAGCCACCACTCCTTTGCTGCTACTCTGGTGTCCTCTCTGACTCCTGGATGCAGGACATTTAGCTCAAGGATCTTGAGATCCAAAATCACATGTTTCACTCCTGTCTCTTCTTTTTTGGATGGGCTTGAGATCCCTGCTCCTGTTTCTGACATGGCACTGGATGATCACAGAGTTCTAAGAAAATGGAAAACTGCCTGGGTGAGAAAAAAGGTAGGAAGGTTGGGCCAAAGACTTTTGGCCCATCATGACAATGCACCTGCTAAAAGTTCACAAAGGCTATCCTATGGGGATTTATGGAAAAGCCTCACGCCAACCAAGCTAAAGCCATGATCTTACCCCATTCGGACTTCCTTGTGTCCCCCAAATCAAAGAACCTCAAAGGAATACAGTCAGGTTGTTGAGAATGCTTACACTGTTGTTTTCCAACACCATAACGCAAAGAGAGCAGAATTCTTCAGGGAAGGGTGGCAGAGAAAGAAATTCTGCCTTGAGAACTGCACACACCTAGGTGGAGGATATGTTGAGAGACAATAGCTGCACATGATATTGTTGTTCAATACATTTTCTGTGATTTTGTAAGAAGCATTGACCTACAAAGTCTAACATCGGCAATTTAAACCCACCAATCATTCCTAATGGAGTCCTGATGTGTAATAGCTATGCACTGGGCTGTGAGCCGTATGGTCATCGGTTTGAAACCAGCAGCAGCTCCTCAGGAGGATTGGGCTTTCTACTCCCGTAAATAATTACAGTCTCGGAAACCCACAGGGGATTGCAATGAGTCAGCCTTGACTCAGTGGCAGTGAACTTAATGACTCCAAGACACGGGTGTCTGTTTCTTTACAGATTTATGGTCTAGGAAACTCAAAGGGGCAGTTTTCCTCTATCCTATGTTGGTTTTTCTCACCCTTGTACATTTCAGACTTGGATTGTGGTTTTATATAGTTAAAGTATAAACTACTGTATTTCAGATGATCCTTATGCCAGGCTCTAGGAAGGGTGAAATAAGTCAGGTATTTATAGAAACTGGAAGTAAATGTTCCCAGTGAGGAGGCTGGAAGCAGGGTTTTAAACCAGTTCTTCCCAGTTCAGTCACGGCCAATGATGGGAAACTGAGACTGACTGGAATTTACAAAATATGAGTTTCTGGAATGTAACTGGAATCTGGGCAATTGCAAGCCCATGTCCTGCTAATAATTTAATCTCCCTCTTAGAGAGCAAGCACAAAATGTATCTTGCACAACAGCTAATCTCTTGCATGAAACAATGCTTCGCTGTGTAAAGACGGTGGTCAATGGCAAAGCTTCTCATTTGTATTCTTTTACACGGTCCTGGCAATAATCCAGTCTCCTGCATCAAGACCCTGAAAGGTCTTGCTAGGCTTCTTTTTTCACCTTTGGTTTGGAGACCTCTCAGATAGAAAGGTTCAGAATGCATGTGAGATGCCCAGCGGAAAGGTAGCTAGAGCTCTGGACAAAAGGCTTGGTCCTGGCTTAGGCGCTAAAAGAGAAAGAGAAAAAAGAATTGCCTCTCCATTCTTTTCAGCGCGCATTCTATGGACAAGGAGCAATGAAGGATCATAAATGATGCGTGTTTGTTTCTTTCTCTCTGGGTACCATAGGTAGTGGCTGGATGCTTGTAGATTCTTATTCAAACCCTAAACTCACCCCAAACAGAATCTAGGTTTGGGATTTATCTGAAGCCCCAGAAATAGTTGCCTTTGCTGTCTTTGTGAGCATCCCAAAGTAGCTTGTGTCCTTGTCAAAATACAGACATGAAATATACATGTGTCTAATAAACACAATCTTCGCTTACATCCAACTCCTCACTTTACAACGAGGTGAATAATGTCTGCAAACATTCAGCAGGTTGTCGGTCTTAGAAAAATCAACACAATCAAAGGGTTGGGTCAAGATCATTTCAGAAACTAGTTATTTCTAGTGAATGATTTTTATGCTTATTTCATCATAGAATAGTCTGATCAGAGGATGCTTCTTTTTCTCTGAATGCAAAAGCAAAGTAAAATCAATGAAAACATACATAAAAACTAGAGACACACTATACTTTTTAATAAAGACAATATTCTCAAACTAAGATTTTTTTTAAAAATTTCATTTGAAATTCAATCCTGTCCCTATTTAATTTATTATTTCCCCCCTTTTTTCAATCATTAAGTGATCAGCAATGAGTGCTCTCTTCATTTCAGGTTCAGTCCCGAAAGATGATGGCTATCATTCCACCCTGTCCCTATTTTTAAAACCGTCTTGCTTTGAACTGTTACTATAGAAAATACAGTAAATGGTGCCTATGCTACGGGTATTTGGTTAAATTTTGTGTAAAAGTATTATCACCATACTTTTAGATATGTGTCCTGAGGACTCCAGCACTTGGGGTATATTTCAAGCATGTGTAAATTTCAAAGACCATACAATCACTCAAGTAATGTCAACCAAGAACATTTACTTGGGACTAAATTTTATTTCTAAAACGATTTTTGAGCTTAATGTTTGTAAAATGCTTGGATCATGTAGACCACTAAATCTGAAAATATAAATTCAGTATGTCCCCATGAAGGTACTGACTCAACTTGATTGGCATGTGAAAGACTTTATGGAAATTTACAAGCATACAAGGGGTACCCCCTCAAAAAACAAACAAACAAACCAGAAAAAAGCTCCGCCGAGCAGAACTTTCATAGTATGCATTTTTCCCCCTAGGCGAGCGTCAAGCAACTTGCTCTGAGTTAGTGCACTCAGTGCCATTGCCTGGGAAGGTTCTCTCTGGTCAAAGCAGTTTCACTCAATTTAAGAGAACAGTGTTCGTCTGTTAAATTGTGTTTCCTGCTCAAGAAAAATGCTACAGAAATGGTTGTGATGTTGAACACAGCTTACAAGGACAGTGCTATGGGAAAATCTCAAGTGTACAAGTAATTTTCTTGTTTCACAAAAGGTTAAATTTCAATTGATGACAAACTTCATTCTGGACATCTGTCAATTGCCCACATGGATGAAAATGTTGACTAAGTGCATTTGGAGTTCATTCCACCAGGTCAGATGGTTAATCAAGTTTTCTCTAGATATTCTGAAAAGATTGCCTAACAGTGTTTGGCAAAAAAGGCCTGATTTGTGGCAGACAGGGACTGGTTTTGTCACCACAACAATGCACCTGCTCACCCAGCCATCTCAGTGCACCAATTTTTGGCAAAACCCAGCATGCCTATCTTGCCTATGCACCTGACTCATGTGACCTCTTTTCATGCAACACCTTTTTGTTTCCACAAATGAAGAGGGACATGACAGGACGGAAATTTGATGATGTCGAAGGAATGAAGAAAAAACAAGGGAGATATCATCCAAAAGATGATTTGAAAAATGTTTCCAAGAGTGTAATTGCAGATTTGACAAAAGTGATAAAGGTGATAAATTTATTTTGTAAAAATAAAATTAAGTACTTAGCTTTTTAAAAAAATTCAATTTTTGGGGTACCCCCTTGTATTCTTAGAATTTGCTCTTTTCTCAGTCTTTAGAAATAAAAAATATATCTCTTACTGATCAAATATAGTTATAATAATCTGGAAGCATTCAGAAATAAGGGCAAGCATTATGTTGTCTATCTGGAAAAAAATAGAGAGATGAATTTGTGCAAGTACATATTCTACAACCTTGAATGCATGTGTTTATTTTCATTGTTCCCATGACAGTTAGCTCTGAATAGAAAATCTAGATTGTGATTTTGCACTTCAGCGAAAAACATGGCATTGCACAGCAATTTTTCCCCCTCTTTCTTCTCATTTCAAACTGGAAATCTACTACTATGGCATCTACAGCAGTAAGCATCCCTGTGAGTTGCAGAATCCATTTGCCACATCACAATATTGTCTACAAGGGACCTTGTCCATAGAAAGAGGTTGTTTAGGTGTAAGTATGTGAGTATAGTGTAGATTTACCTTGTACACAGTTCAAAAGATGTGATTTGCCTGAAAGAAGTAATTATTTGTGTGTGCTCTTTTGTGTGCATGGTTCCAAATTAAATATCCTTGTTTAATTTATATTCCAATCTGAGGTTCACTAAGCTGGTGAATTTGCCCTGTTACAATACTCTCCTATAATCTTCAGGGAAGTGATATTAGGTTTTATGCCATAATGCATACAAAACATTCACAGTTTCAATTTTTTTTAGTATTTAGTCAATGCCAATAAATCTATGGCATGCAAAAGGGCATTGCTAACATGGAAGCCATTTGATTTCTATACTTTGTCAGATATATGTGCCTCTTAATTCAATAACTTTTAAAGGCAATGCTCGTGGTGGTTTCCATTCATGATACCTGACCTTTCCTTAATGTCAGACATCATTTTCCACTAGCAAGGGGATAAACTATATTGTTTATTTAATGCTAATAATTATTTGGAGGAAATAAATATAATGTAGAGGCAGTTATTATGCCAAGTTGAGCAGGCCTTGGTCTATCATGCCATTGACTTGATGTATTTTGTCTAACTATCTACTGTCCGTATACCAGGGTGCCCAAATACAGGGCAATAATAACCTACCCCCCAGGGCCAGAATTTACTTTACCATTATTTCAGAGCCTAGCTAGTAGTATACATTATTTCCAAAACCATCTTTCTTACCCACAAAGGTGAAATCTCTGTTATTTTTCTTCAGCATTACTTTGCATATTTTCTATTATTCAAGCCATCTTATTTTACCTGTGTGGGTTTGTGTGTGGTGTGTAAGTAAGCATCTCACTATTTTCTCACTTAACAGCCAATTGTCCCAGTATAATCTACTAAATAGTCTATACTGTCTTATTAATTTATACTGCTACATCTGTGATATGCACTGTCACACACACACACACAGGCTACTTGCTTATCCTTGTACCAATATTACACTGAGTGGGTTGTTATTATTTCATATTTAGTTTTGTTAATCACTAGATTATCCCTCTTCCAATTTATTCTTCCCCAGAATTATTTTGGCTTAAAAAAAAATTATTACTCCATATAAATTTTAGTTTCAAGAAAAAAAATTGTTGGCACTTTATTATACTTAAATTAATTTTATGGTTAATTTAGGGAGAAACAACATCTTCATGATATTGAGCCTTCTCATCGATGAACTCCATTTATGTAATTCTATTTTCCCCCTATGGCATCCCCATGAAAGGTTGAGGATTGTGCTGTTGTGATGCATGGTTTTTTTATTTTGTTTGTTTTGCTTTGACAAAAAAACTATTGAGACAAAGATGATGGTTCACAATAACAAACAGGAGAAAACATATTAGACAACTTAAAAAAAAAACCCACTACGTGACTATTTAAAGCAATGAAATCGTATGATTACAGAAAATTAATGAAATCTAAAAATCACAAATTACTTTTTCATCAACTTGGTGCTTTGATTTGATGTAGACATGAAGTAAAATACTACTTACCATCAAGTATTTTTGGAAGGCAGACAGTTTGCCAGGTTCTATGGGGCATACAAATACATTTTAGATGCCAATCCAGCATTCATGAAATGATGATTTAGTCATGCATGTACTAATTGGCCAAATTAATCTATTGTTCATGGTATTAGTGTTAGCAATAGCTTTTATTAGTGTGCATTTTGATTCTTCAAAAGTATCTTCAGAGCAACCTTCACGTTTTCTCAAATGCACACAGACCTTCAGCGCGAGTTTGCACTTCCACACGGTGCAGATGTCACGCTCCAGAGGGGTGAAGCCGTTCTTTCCAGGAAACAATTAGAGCACATTTGTAGTTGACTGACACATCTGTTGGCAGCCAGGAGTGGTGGTGATCAGGTACACCAGGTGTTAACAGCTTGTGTGTCCTTAGATGATAGTAGCCTAGTATAATAGGACAGAGCCATATATTTGAATAAATTTTAAAGAGTCCAGTTTTAAGTGATAATTTCTGACATACAAACATTCAAATTCTTCAGCTAACTAATCCTCCAGAACCCTTTGATCACAAAAAGTATGTTAGATTTTGTTGTTTTAAAGTTAGAAAAACCAATCTAGTAGTTTAACATTGTTTGTACATTTCCCAGGGGCAGACTATCCCATTAGGAAGGGCGTTTATGTGTGAATATACAAAACGTGTGATTACCCTTTCCTTTGAATGGTTATGATCTGCAGATGCTGGACACGTAACAGTGTAATCACATGTTTTTCCCTCGGTGGCATGTGATAGTTTTATAAATCTGCTTGAATTAATCCTCATCGAGTCAGTATTTGAGATTATCTTTTGACCCCATTTATCTATAAAACCTCAACCTATTTGAGAATTTTGTTGTCATCCTCATCATGGTGATGAGATACTAACGTGATTAGGAAAACTCATATTTTGATATTATTTAATCTCATGATGTTCTAGTTTATTAGCTTATGACAATTACCAACTAGAATCTTAAAAGCTTCTGGGCTGACCCAAAACATTATTATTTATGTAAGAGCAAATAAATTAGAATAATAAGTTTCTTTCTATTTCACATTGACCCAAATATAGGCAGTATTTATATTATGAATGTTCAATTTAAATACGATTCACAGTTACTAATAATGTAAAGCCCATCATGTTAAAATTTGAGGTATGCACAATAATTCATAATACCAAATGAATACGATGTAGGGGCAAGCATGAGGATAGTAATGGTTTCTGTATTATTGTGTTAATGGTGTAAATGGTATGAATGGTAAGATGGTTGAGTGTATCTGGAAGTGTTTCTTTAATACTTTTATGCTTGGACAAGTACACTATATATGCTATAAACTTAGACAAACATTTGATTGACTGATATTAGGTAAGACTCATATTTAACTGTTTTGACTCGTGCAAATTTGACTTACAACCAGATTTAGGAAAAGCACTAGTTTGTGGCATAGTTCTTACACATTGGACCGTTAACCACAAGTTCAGCAGTTCAAAACCACAAGTTGTTCTGCAGAAGAAAGATGCGACTTTCTACTCCTCTAAAGTGTTACGGTCTCAAAAACTCATAGGAGCAATTCTACCCTGTCCTGTGGGGTCACTGCGGGTCAGAATCGATTAGATGGCAGTGCCTAAGGTTTATGTTTTAACTGTTTTGGTAGGAGAAAGTGTGCCTTGGCTTTTCCAAGTGCCTGGGATTTAAGATGAAATCCAGTTTCCTTTTCAAAGGGTTAAAAATTCTATATTTTCTATGCTTTGTTGATAAATTTCTGGTGCAAATAAAGATTTTAATATTTGTCAT